ACACCTCAAAGGACAGCAAGGAGCTCCTTACCCCAGGCAGGACAAGCCCATGTGCTGTGGCCATATTGTCTCATCTCTCCTTCCAGGGAACACTGAATGGAGCCCCTGTTTTAAGCTGCTCCTTGGGCACATCAGACTCTTTCTCATTCTCTGCCTTTCCTGGCTCAGAAAAATTAATTCTAGTGAAGGAGGAGGAAGAGAAAGGTAACGAAATGGGCTTTGGCCAGGAGTGGTAATAGCAAGCCCTCTCCTGGCGCTGGTGTTGGTGCAGTGACTGAACTGGTAGTTCAGGGGCTCTTGGTAGGGTTTCCATCAGATGGGACAGGTAGAGCCAGGCTCTGTCCCCACTGCTATGGGACAGATGGCTGCAGGGAGCACCTCTCCACGCTGAGATGCCGTCAGGGTTTGGAGAGATGTGTGCCCTGGCTGCTGGTGTGTGCCTGCAGCAGGGCTGTCCCCTGCAGCAGTGAGCAGGGGCTCGCTGGCTGGTCCAGTGGCCTGGCTCAGTGTGACGGCAGCTCAGCGTGATCCCTTGAAGCATCAGTAGCACGGGGGCCTGGCAGCCTGGTGGTGGTACTGCTGCTTCTGCTGCTGCTGCTGTAGGGTGCCTGGACAGGCACCTTCAGTCCCTTTGGTTTTGTCTCCTGTCTCTAGGTGAAGATAATGACCGAGAAGGAGCTCCTGGCTGTGGCCTGTGAGCAGTTCTTGGGGAAGAACGTGCAGGATGTGAAGAACGTGGTCCTTCAGACGCTGGAGGGACACCTGCGCTCCATCCTAGGTGCGGAGGCACTCGTGCCCTGAAGGCATCTCGAGTGGCTTTGTCCCTCAGCTGGCTGGCCCCAGCGGTATCGCTGCCACTGCAGCTGCCACACAGGACCTGCCTCTGCCGATTGCAGAGGTGGCATCTCCCCTCCAGCAGCTCCTGCTGCGCATTGTGATAAATGACTTTTCAGTGCCTGCAGTAAGAGATGTCTGAGTCCCTCGTGGGTTACAGGTAGCATGTGTGGGTGGTGGTTGCGCTTGTGAGACTGAGATGTTGGTGCCACTGCAGGGGCAGAGGGTTACGGCCTTGTACCCAGGCCTCAAGAGATAAGGGACAACAAGGATGTTGCTGAGCTTAGACCCACGTCCTTGTGTGTTACCTGTTCCAAATAAAGTGCTTCACCTTCCTTCCCCCTGCAGGGACCCTGACAGTGGAGCAGATCTACCAGGACAGGGACCAGTTTGCCAAGCTGGTGCGGGAGGTGGCAGCCCCCGATGTGGGTCGCATGGGGATCGAGATCCTGAGTTTCACCATCAAGGTACACCCAGACATCGGGCGCTGCACTATGGGCAGAGCTGTAGGAGCAGCAGGGCAGAGCCTGGCTCCGGCTCCTCCGCCGCAGCCGGCTGGAAGGCTCCAGCTGACAGCCTGCCCCAGCCCTCCGGGAGTTTCCATGACAGCCGCCGCAGCATGTCCTGTATCCAGGCAGCTGGGCCAAGAGCACTGGGTTAGCTGCCTCTGTAAACAGGCTCGTGGAGAGAGCTGGCTGATAACCCAGCCTCCAGGGAGTCGAGGGAAGATGTTGGGAGAGCCTGCCTCTCCCTGCCCTGCGTGTTTGTGTGGATCAGCTGACATGGCGCATTCTGACCTCAGCCTGACTGCATGAGTGGCTGCCCAGAGCTTCAGCGGGGAGGGAGCAAGATGGAGTCGCTCGTTTGAAGTGGTTGTGACTTATTCTCTCCTCCCCAGGATGTCTATGATAAAGTGGATTACCTGAGCTCCCTGGGGAAGACTCAGATTGCAGCTGTCCAAAGGGATGCAGACATTGGAGTGGCAGAAGCCGAGCGGGATGCTGGCATTCGGGTGAGTCCGGAGATGTGCCAACCTTCCCCAGAGCAGCCTGTTCAGCTCCAACTGCACAGCCTGAAGCTCTGCTTTCTTTTCCCTCTCCACAGGAGGCAGAGTGCAAGAAAGAAATGATGGATGTCAAGTTCATGGCAGATACCAAAATAGCAGATTCCAAACGGGCTTTTGAATTGCAGAAAGCTGCCTTCACTGAGGAGGTCAACATTAAGGTGAGAGTGTCCCACAGCCCACTGCTGGAGGGTTTGTGATGGTGTTGGTGGCTCTGGGGCTTGTCAACTTCTTTCTTCTACATCTGTTAGGAGATTTGGAAGTGGAGAACCCAGGACTGTGTGTCACTGTGTGAGCTCTTGCAGCAGATTCCTCTCCTGTTTGCAGAAATTTGGTGGGACTAGGAGGAGAGGAAAGGGTGGGGAGGGTCATCCAGGCTGAACCTGGAGCTGGTTGGGCTCAAGTGGTGTGGGAAAAGTGCACGGGGAAGGACAGCACCGAATATTGGGATGTCACCCCTGGGAAGAGGTTCAGTAGCAGGAGCCGTGTTTGGTTTTAGGTCCTGCCAAGGGTCCTTATGTCTGCGCACAGGAGCTCGTGGCCCAGACCCCTCTTTTCCTCTCCCCCCTGTGCAGACTGCAGAGGCCCAGCTGGCCTACGAGCTCCAGAGCGCCCGGGAGCAGCAGAAGATCCGTCAGGAGGAAATCGAAATCGAGGTGGTGCAACGCAAGAAGCAGATCGATGTGGAGGAGAAGGAGGTGATCCGGATGGAGAAGGAGCTGATGGCCACCGTGAGGCAGCCGGCCGAGGCTGAGGCCTATCGCATCCAGCAGATCGCCGAGGGAGAGAAGTGAGTGAGCCCGTGACCTGAGCTGGGAGCACAGTGCTGCCCCAGCTTATGGGCTCTCTGCAGAGATCTGGGCTACTACAGCACTGGATTTCCTTTTCCAGGGTGAAGCAAATCCTCCTTGCTCAGGCGGAGGCAGAAAAGATCCGCAAGATCGGAGAAGCAGAGGCTTTTGTGATCGAGGCCATGGGGATGGCGGAGGCTGAGGGGCTGAAGCTGAAAGCAGAAGCGCTCCAGCAGTATGGAGAAGCTGCCAGGCTGGCCCTAGTGCTGGATGCACTGCCTGAGGTGAGGAAGGAGCAGCTTTCCCCTGCCCTGGGCAAGCACTGGGGAGCTCCCAGGCTGGGCCGCGTCTCCTGCGGGCACAGCAAGGCCCTGTGCGATGTGTAGGGATCTTGCCCAGTGGGCTGCTGACCAGGTCCTTGACTCTCTGCTCATTCCACCCTCCTTCCCTGCTTCCCTAGATCGCTGCCAAAGTGTCTGCTCCCCTCTCCAAAGTGGATGAGATTGTTATTCTCAGCGGAGACAATAACAACACCATGTCCGAGGTGAACCGTCTGCTGGCTGAGATTCCCACCTCCGTGCGCGCCCTCACTGGTGTGGATCTCACAAAGGTGAGCTGGGCACCGGCAACTGGCAATGCCAACAGCTCCTAGGGCACAGGCACTTGCCTGGAAGCTTTCAGCCTCTCAGGGAGCCTCTCCTTCCCCAGCCCTGCCCACCGCAGAGTGCAGGCAGCTCCCTGCCTCCCTCTCCTCCAGCCCTAACAGCTTCTCTCTTCCCCTCCTGCAGCTTCCCCTGTTCCAGAAAGCCACCGTGGCCAAGGAATGAGGTTGGCCAGCCCAAAGCTAGTGAAGATCACTCCCTGTTATGCACTCAGACATCAACTGCCTTCGACATGTGGGAATTCCTTTTATATCAAAGACAATCTGGTTTTCATTTGTAACTGGTGCCTTATTTTGTAGGGCCAGAAAGATGCATGTCCTGTCTGCTGCTCTTTTTATTCCAAAGGTGGGAGGGGATTTATTTTGTAATTAACTATGTATTGTCTCAGGCCAATCCCTCCCCAGATACGACTGGCAGCTTGTCTGGTGTTGCAGTCCCGGTGCCTTGCTGTTCTCTGCCCTCAGGTGAGCGCCCAGAGCTCAAGGCAGAGGCTTGGTGGAATATGGAGCTGTAGGAAGAGAACAGCCAGGACCCCCCTGCTCTCCTTCAGTGACCCTCCTGGGCACTGCCCCAACCTTGTCTCCCACAGCTGTCCCTGTGGCTGGCTCTCCCTGTCCCAGTGTCTCACCCCCAGTGCCCCTGCAGTGCCAGCAGCCCTGCCCGGGCTGGGCTTCCCAGAGGTGGCAGTCACCCCCCAGGAGAGTGACAATCCAGCACTGCCAGTGGTGCTGCCCACTCCTATGCTACTTCCCCTTGAGGAAGTTTCCTCATGGGATCTGGAGCGGGGAAAGCTCTGAGGGGCAGAGGGAGCTCAGCTCAGCCGTGGTGAGATCCCACCACCAGGAATACCAAAAAGTAGTGCTGTGCCAAAGCCACCTGTCCCCTAAGAGGGCAGGGACACTGCAGCTGCTGTCCCTGGGTGCTGTGGTACATCCTGACCCCACAACCACTAAAACTGTGGGTCAGAGGTGGGGGGGACCAGCAGGACACTTGAGTGGGGACAGGCTCCTCCTGTACAGCTGCCTGGGGACCAGTGGCCCTGTGGCTGGGTGCTGGCCAGGAGCTGCCGCAGCAGCCAGTGCAGGAACCCCTACCTCACTCCCTCCCCCTGCCTCTTATGGCCAGTGGCTTTGCTGCCTTGTGACAATGTGAAAGGGGTTGTCCCCTGTGTGTGTCCGTCCTCCCTGCAGTGCCACCAGGGCCCTGCGCTGGCCCACGTCCCTTCCCTGCCTGTCTTGATGCCTGTGCTCAATGTGGCTGTTACAGCCAGACCCGTGAGTGAGGTCAGCCTGGCGCTGCTGGTGAGGTCAGCCTGCGCTGTGGTGGGGTTTTGGGGGTCCCTCCACTGGCTCCTGCACCCCCAGCTCGGTGCTGGTTGCCATAGAGTGGGGAAAGGTCCCTCTCCACTGTCCCGGGGGACAGCCAGTCCCTTTGCCGGGAGTGACCCACTGCGGAGGGGTGGGTGCTGCGGGTCCCCCCATCCCCTCCCTGCGGCCGGGGCGGGGGGACCGGCGTTATCAGCCCCCGGCTGGTGCCGGCCCGTGGGCGGTGGGTGCAGATCTGGCGCTGGCCAGCAGGCGTGCCGGGCCGGGCCCTGTATCTGCATGTGCCTGCGCCTGCCGCCCGCTGCTGTGAGATAATAAACCCGTGTCACCTCCCGCCTGGGCTCTGTCTCGTGCCTCCCGCCCGTCTCTCCCGCCCCAGCACCCCCAGGATTGGGCTGGCCGGGGGCTGCTGGTGTTCCCGGGCAGATGTTCCCGCTGGGATGGGGGAATAATGGTGTGTGAAGGTGAGGTCCTGGCTCACACTGCTCCTGCAAACTCGGGAACTGGTGACTTCCCCGCGGTCACTGTGCCCCCATGGGCTCCCTGCCCCAGACCTTAGTGGGTGTAGAGCCTTGTCCTGCTCCCACAGGGACAAACATGCAGCCAGGAGCCACCGAGGATGCTGGTGAGCTCCACTGCATGGCCCCTGTTACGCTGGGGGTGCTGACCACTGCAGGGGCTCCCCAAAAGATTGGCACCCCAGGAGCTGGAGCAGGGCTGACATGGATGGAAGGCTCTGTCTGTCCCAGCAGCCAGGTTGGTGGCAGCAGCTCATCTCCCCCTGTTCTGCCGCAGGAACCCTCTCCCAGCCCCTTCTCTGTGCTGGGGGCCAGCTGGGTGGCTCTGGGGGTACCTGTCCTGCTTGGGGTCACCCAGTGAGCAGGAGCAGTGACAGCCAGCATGAGGTCATCATGGGGGACTTTGCTGCAATGATCTCCCAGAGGTAAAGATGGTTTCTCATGCTTTCCAGACCTTCCACGTCCCCCCCCAGACACAGGGCAAGACAACAGGCCCTGTCCTATGTGTCCTGCAGGGTGGCCCTGCAGATAGGCTGGGTGGGGACAGCTTGGCAGCCCCCAACACGTCGTTATCTGGAGCCAGACATGCTGCCCTGGGCCAGCATGGCTGGTGGGAGGGCTGTGGCACACAGGGGTCTCCTGTGGCACCCAGGGGTCCCCTCACCATCTCTGTGATACCAGCCTGGGGGGCACTTGGGCCCCCTCTGTCCTGAAGGGCGCAAGGCCACAGGGCAGGGCTACCCTCAAGTGCTGTGTGTGTGCAGAGTGGGCAGTGGGGCTGGTGGGCACTGGCTGGGATGGGGACAATCGCATGGGGCTGGCAGGGCTTGAGGTACTCAGGGACACTTTGCCTGTGTTGCTGCTCTATGTGCAGGGGGTGCCTGTGCCACAGTTTGGGGAGCACTACAGGCTCCAGGACACCTCTGGGTCACCTCAGGGACCAAAACCAGGAGGGAACAATCCCTCACAGCCCCCGAGTCCCCCACATCCTCATGTCTGGTGACAGGGTGGCACCAAGGCTTGACCTTGTGCCACCTCCTACCAGGGTCTGGCCAGGCTGGGGTGATGCTGCCCCTGTTCCTGTCACCCAGAGGTGACAGCAGGTCTGGGGACACCTTGTGTGGCAGGGCAGGGTCCCCGATAGCTGGACACTGCTGCTTATCGGGACCCCCACGCAGACAGTCCCGGCGGGGGGTTATCACCTCCACACAGCCGACTTCCAGGAATGCCGGCGTGTCCTGGCACAAACAACCCAGCACAATGGCACAGCACCTGCTGCAGGATGTGGCCCTGTGGGGACAGACAGAGCTGGGGGACACAAATGACCAGGGTCATGCACAGGCAGGTGACACTCATGGTCAGGGGGTGCAGCCACTTGGGGACATGTGGCCAGGGGACAAGTATGACCAGGGTCCTGCACAATGAGGGGACAGAGCCCTTGGGGACATGTGTGGTCAGGGGGTGCATGTCCTTGGGGGCACACAGCTGGGGGATACCTCTCTACAGGGGACACATACCCCTGGGAGGAGGGTGCACTCACACAGGGGACATGAACTCCCAGGATATTCGTTCCTACAGGGAACACATCTTATTTGGGGGGACACACTGCATGGGGAAGTGTCCCTCAGGGGACACAGCACTTTGGAGGTCACCCACCCCAGGGGGACACAGGCTCCTCACCTGGCAGTGCCCGTGCAGAGTGACCCCCTGAACCCACATGTCCCACCACCACATCCCAGGCCCCATCCCCATGGATTGCCACCCTGCCCTGTCCAACACCACTGTCCAGCAAGTGGGAGCCAGTTTGCAATGGATAGCTCCCCATTTGGGTTCCCCACAGCTATGGGAAGGGATAATCCTGATGACCACAGGGGTCAAGGCAGGAGGGTGGGGGATTTGTGGGGGCCACTCCCATACGCTGAATGCACAGGGGGTGACCCCCTGCAAACCCCTCATTCCCAATCCCCCCGTGGGCAATTGCAGGCTGGCAGGAGCTGCTTGGGGCTGTGCCCCCCCGGGCAGGAAGGGGTTAAGGGCCCTGTCCAGCTGTGCAGTGCAGATGTGAGATATGCAGATGAGGCAGAGCAGGTTTTATAAGGCGGGTACAGACCCAGCACCCCACAAAACCCCAATGCCACCCCTATAGGTAGGTGCCACCACCTGGGGAGCTGCTCTCCTGCTCTGGAGTGATGGGATTTGGAATACCCCAGGAGGGGTTAGGGGAATGCTGGAGTGGGGATGCAATTGGGAGCCTTCACCCCACTCTGGAACAGTGGGACTGGAGGGCAGAGGTGAGATAGGGAATTGTTGGGGTCAGGAGACTGTTGGGAGCCTCTGCTCTTCTCCGGAGTGGTGGGAATGGGGAGACAAAGAGGGTGTAGGGGGGATGTCTGAATGGGTAAGCCACTGAGAGCCTCCATCCTTCTTTAGGGTTGTGGGATTGGGAGGGATAATGAGGGAGTAGGGGGGTGGTGGGGTGGGGAGGCCCTTGAGAGCCTCTGTCCTGCTGTGGTGCAGCAGGACCAGCGAGACAGGGATGGGGTGAGCAGAACATCGAGGGATGGGGCGATCCTGGTGCTGTGCTCCCTAACCATGCTCTCCCCGTGCAGGCTCCACTCCCTGCTCCCTGTGCTGCCGCCGCTCCGAGCAGGATATCATCGTATACTGTAAGTTGGCTATGAGACACTACAGTATAGATGATGTACTCCCCGGGCTGCACCGACCACCCGCCCGCCAGGACACGGCGTGGGACCGCGACGGGAGGGCACCGGGGGCGGGGGGAGGCGGGGCTGGGATGTGGGACAAGTGTGTGGAGTGGGGAGGGTGGTGGGATGGGGCACCGCGAGGTGTGAGAAGCTCGAGGCACCTCCAGGGATCCGCGGCCGGCGGGGAAACCGTTACCATTACTGAGTTTAGTAATGGTAACGGTTCTGCCGACGGCCGGGCACACGGCACGGACCGGAATGGAATGGCACGGCACGGACACGGAGATGGAGCGCCGGGATCGGGCACGGGACAATAAAAGGGGGTTACAGCACCGTGGCTCTGTCTCTGCTTCTTCACCACGTCCCCCGGGGGCTCCAGGCCCGGTGGAACTGGGTCACTGGGGTGGACTGGGGAGCTCGGGGGTGCACTGGGTTGCAGGGTAGGAGAGGGAATTTTGGGTGCATTTGGGTGTAATGGGTACGGGGGTACCTTGGGGTGCGGTGTGGGCAGGGTGTTGGAGTGCAGGGGACACTGGAGCGCGTCGAGTGTGTTGCAGGGAGCACTGGGGAGAACTGGGAGGCACTGGGGGGTGTTGGGAGAGACTGGGGAGACCCGGGGAGTGTTGGGGTGTAAGGGGAGCACTGGGAGGCACAGGGTTGCATTGAAGAGGGGAACTGGGAGCACTGAGGCTCACTGGGGAGCACAGAGGAGTATTCAGATACATGGGGTGTGTTGTGGGGGGCACCGGGCATCCTGGGGTGCACTGGGATGGAGTGAGGAGGGTCGTAGTGAGAACTGGGACGTACTGTATGCCCCAGGGCACTGGGGTTCACTGGACTGTGTGGTGGGAACGCTGGGAGCGCTGGGGGCACGGGAAGCATGGAGGGCACTGGAGGCATTGGGAGCACCGGGAACACGGGGAACATTGACGTCACTGGGGGCACTGGGAGCACTGGGGGGGTCACTGGGGGCAGTGGCAGCACTAGGGGGGTCACTGGGATCACTGGGGGGGTCACTGGGATCACTGGGAGCACTGAGGAAGCACTGAGAGCACTGCTCGGCGGGGCTGGCAGGGGGCGCGCCCCGCTCCCGCCATCCTGCCCAGTCCGCTTCCTTCCCACAACCCCCCGCGGCAGAGCGGCGCGCTGGCCCCGCCCTGCCCTCGTCTCTATGCTCCCGCGCTGGCTCGCCAATGGGGGCGGGCGTCGGTGGCACTCCCGGCGTGCCCCGCGCCGGGGCAATATGGCGGCTCCCATGGCCGCGGCCGTCGCCCGCGCCCTGCGCTGGGGCAGCGGGGCCGCCGCGACGGGGCCGCTCCTGCTGCGAATAGGTGCGGCGGGGCCGTGGGAGTGCTTCGGGGGGCGGCCGGGGACGTGAGGCGGCGGGCAGGAGCGGGGCGGGCGCTATGAGGCTGGCACAGAGGCCCTGTAGAGGCTGCGGGGCAGCAGCGCTGCCCGGGCGCTGCTGCGTGAGGAGGGAGGGGACAGCGCGATTTTGGGAGGTTTTCGGTACGTTTTCGGTATATGCTGTGTTTGCTGGTGGTGTCCTTCCAGGCTGCCTCCCGGGGAGCCGCTGGAGCGAGAACTGGGAGCTGGGAACTGGAGCAGCGCTGGGCAGGGTCCTGAGCGTCCCTGCCCGCTGGAACGGGAGCAGCTCGGCGCTGGGCAGCTTCCTGGGCATCCCCGCCGAGGCACCGCCCACCCCTCTGGGCCAGCACCCGCCACCCGTGGCCACCAGCAAAGGTGAGATGGTACCCGGTGCTGCCCGACCCGCCCAGGGGGTTTAGCAGCACTCAAGTCCCTCCTTTCCCTGGCAGAGGAGCAGAAGCGGCTGTTGCAGCACCGGCCCGACCAGCCCAAGAACCCCAAGGTGCTGAGGATCGCCATCATCGGCGCCCCCAACGCCGGAAAATCCACGCTCTCCAATCAGCTCCTGGGCAGGAAGGTGAGGCTGGGCTGGAGAAGCAAGTTCAGGCTGATAAATTGCCTTTTTTTTTTTTTTTTTTGCCATATTCTGGCTGTGTAACATGTTTAATTTCCTGCAGGTTTTTCCAGTCTCCAAGAAGGTTCACACGACCCGGTGCAAAGCCAGGGGTGTCATCACACGCGAGGACACACAGCTGGTGAGCTCCCAGAGCTGCTCCTGCCTGGGGCACTGGGCAGTGTGAGCCAGAAAGGGCAGGGTTTGCTCATCTCTGTCCTGTGGGATCACTCCTCGTTGCACAAATACGAGTTTTACCCTGACCACTAACCACAGGCAAACTTACAGGATCTCTCTTTCCTCTTTCTAGATCATTCTGGACACACCTGGCCTTACTAATCCATTAAAAGTCAAAAGGTATCACCACTGGAGTGGGGAGAGGGAGGCTCCTGCCTGTCAAGCGTTGATAAAACCAGAATGTGATTTTTCACTGTGCAGAGTTTGTAAAATAGGAGTGGCAGGAATGTGTATTTTTAGCCTTATTTTGCCTCATTTATGGTTGCAATTTCAGTAGCACGCAGAGCCTGTGACATCCCTGTTGAGTTTGTTTCTGCATATGGGACAAGGGATGTCACAGCCCCTAAAACAGCTTTGTGGCATCTGGGATGAGGGAAAACTCTGTTTTTTTCCCCCACTTTGAGGGGAAGGAACACAATTGTAACTGTGTCTGGTTGACTCATTTTCATCTATCTTTCAGACATAATTTAGAGAAAGCCATGCTGACAGACCCGTGGGACAGCATGAAACATGCAGATTTAGGTGGGTTCTCAACTCCTCTTGGAACAAACCAAACCCTTTTCTGCCACACAAGTTTACAGCTGTGGTGTCTGGGTGTTTGCTGGGCAGCCCTGGGAGTGTGAGCTAGGAGGGAAGGGCAGAGAAAAGCTTTAGAATGTTGAGCTGAGGAGTGGATAAGGATTGCCTGGTGCTGAGACAGGGCAGCTTAGGTTAATAATTGGGCTTGGATGTTAAGTTTTAGCACGTATGATGTCATTTTGATGGCAGCATTTTAGTGTTTTACCAATTAAAACTCTTCTTTTTGTGATCTCCTGTGGAAGAGAGAGAAGGAGCAGGAGGAGGGGGGTGACCACAGACTCTAAAGCTGCAAGTGAACATTCTGGAAAAGGCAGGTTCATCCTATTTCCCTCCCTCTCTCCTGGCAGTTCTGGTTTTGGTGGACGTGTCAGATCACTGGACAAGGAATGCTCTGAGCAAGGAGGTGCTGAAGTGTCTGTCACGGTTTCCCCACATCCCCAGTGTCCTGGTCCTGAACAAGGTAAATCCTACTCATTCTTCCTGCCTTCTTCAGACACCACCTGACAACAGCAGCCATGGTTTTTTTGGGTCCCTGGTTTGTTAAAGGGCACTGGTTTCCCCCTCTGCTCCAGCATATTGCAGTGTGTGTGTGTACATGTTGCATGCACTGGTGCTTTGCTGCAGCCTGGGGTTTAAATCCACCTGGGAAGAGGAGCTGAGTGGGGTTGGCCAGAGAGAATCTCAGCAGAGCTGACAGGTTCTCAGCGTTTGGACAAACTGTGCTGGCACTGGTGACACGCTACTGGTCACCAAACTGTCCTGTCCTATTGCAGGAGCCTTGTCCTGCAGCAGCTGCTTCCCTGAGTGGTTTATTCTGGCTCCTTTAGATCCAGGGCCCAGCTGCTCAGCTCGTTTAGGACAAATCCTGACACCTTTCCCTGACTTTAGGTGGACATACTAAAGAAGAAGTATCTCCTGCTGGACATAGTAACTGACCTAACAGAGGGAATTGTAAATGGAAAGAAACTAGAAGTGAAATCTGCATTTAAAGCTGATTCCAGTTCTTCAGCCAAGCCTCCTCTTCAAATCACTCGGGCTTTTCCTCCTGGGAGCAGGGCCCCAGAGTCTCCCTGTCGGCAGGAAACGGATCAGGCCCGGGAAGACTCTGGTTTGGACAACAGCAGTGGTGTGAGGGATGCTAAATCCAGCCCTATCACAGAGGAAGCCCAAGGGCCAAAGCACTATGGACACAAGGATCTAAAAGATATGAAAGGCTGGCCACACTTTCGGGAGATCTTCATGTTGGCAGCTCGCAGTGGGGAGGAGGTGGATACACTCAAGGTAACTCAGAGCTTGTGTCACACCTTGAGACTGGTGTGGGACCCCAGCACTTCATCCTGAGCTTAATCTGTGAGGAAGTAGCAGAGCTGCTGTTCCTGGCCTGGGATGGGGGGAAAGTGTTGTGGGGATAACATGGAGATGTGTCTGTATTGCATTTCCAGAGTTTTCTGTACAAAACTCTCATTTGGGGCTCTCCAAAAAGCAGCTTGCTCAGAACAATGACCACCCACCATTCATTCTTTCAGCTCCAGGGGTGCTGTGGGCTTTTGTAACTCACACAGACGGCTCTAGGGAGGGGTGACCCTTTGGCAGGGCAGGAGTTTCAGAGCTTCCTTTTTTCCTTTCCCTGCCAAAAATACCAAACTCCTGCTCTGGTGCCAGGCCAGCAGCAGTGCCCTCACTGCAGAACGAGCACAGGGGTGTTGGCACCTGACAAGTGGTACCTGACAGCTGATAGGGGTGTGTGTGTTGTGCCCACAGCAGTACCTCCTGATGCAAGCCAAGCCAGGCCCCTGGGAGTTCCACAGCGACGTCCTGACCAGCCAGTCACCTCAGGAAGTCTGTGACAACATCATCAGGGAGAAGGTCCTGGAGTACCTGCCCTTGGAGGTGCCCTATGGTGTGACTCAGGTGGGAAGTGTGCACAGGCAGATCTGCCCACGAGCTGTTTAACTGGAAACATTGGGCTGTGTGATGAGAATCCCTTCATTTGGATCTGTGGAATCTGGGGTGACTCAGTATTTGCACTTCAGGTGCTGTGAGGCCCTCCGTGTGCTGGTGTCTCCAAGGGAGTGGTCTTTTTGGTTCCTGAGGGTTTTCCAGGATTGCTAAGTGCACTCTTGCTGTTGCAGGTGACAGAGATGTGGGAGGAAGGAGAATGTGGGGAGCTCCTCATCGTGCAGAACCTTTTGGTCCCAAGGAAGGCTCATATGGTGAGCGATGGAAGAGAGCTGGGGCACTGGGGAGGGTGAAGGGAGGTTCCCTTATTCCAGCACATGTGCATCCTTGCTGTGATCCCCTCTCCCCCTCCTTTGGGAAGAGCCACATGCCTGACACAGACTATTCAGCAGTAGCTTACACCTCCCTGGAGTAGCCCATGGTTTGATCTTGGAATTTCCCTTGCTGCTTGTGGCCGTGCTGTCCTCCTTGGGCAATTCCTCCCTGCAGCTGGGCAATGTAAGGATGAGTCTGATGATGTCTTCTCTGGGTTTTAATGCAGAGGATGTTGATTGGAAGAGGAGGGAAAGTCATCAGCAGGATTGCTCAGGAGGCTGGGCAGGACCTGATGAATGCTTTCCTGTGTGACGTCCGCTTGAAGCTCAGGGTGGAGGTGAAGAGTTGAGTGTTTTAAGAGCCCCTGAACTCTCTGATCATCTGGAGAAGCAGATCCTATATTCCCCTGCGGATATCTTGGCACCTCTGTTCAGTCCAGAAACAGAGCATAATGGACTTAATATAGTGGGCTGAAGTGGAATATATTATTCTTTGAGAGAATGGCCCAAACTGCAATAGATCTTCAGATTCTCTACTGCACCTGGCCTTGTGGAAGCTGGGATGGACATCAAAGAACCAGCTGCACCCATGGTTCTGCATTTACAGAGCTACCATCCACCTCTTTTGGGCTGTGTCCTGCATTCTTGCTCACAGGTTTTTATCCCTGGAAGTTCAGGAGCATCTCCTGTCTTTTAGCAGACACAGGGTTGCAGTGAAGGATGATTAGCACACATTTATCTTCTCTTCTGAAGGCTGAACCACTCCAGTGTGATCACACAGGAGGAACACGCTACCCCAGCCCACACTGTGGTCTTACATTGGCTTTGCTCCCTGCCCTGTTGAAGTTCATGCTTGTAGGGGATCAGTTTAAGGGATTTGCTGGCAGCTGAAACATCTGTAATGCCTGAAGGGCTTGTCTGTTGTGCAAAACCAGCACGGACCCCCTTTTTTAGGAATTTGAATACTTTATTGCACCGGAGTTATTTCAAAACCCTTATTCTTTGCACCAAGGCTGCAGATACAAACATAGAAACTGTTGCAGCTAAAGAAAAGCCCAAAGTGGGAACAGCAGCAGGTTCTGCAGCTCGGGGGCAACGGGTTGGGGATGGAGAGTAACTGGCATGGATGAGGCTAGAGGAGCAGGGCTGGACCAGTGAAAGAGATGCTGTTACCATTCTGAGCTGCTGAAGGATTCTGGAGTGTGAGATATCTCAAAACCGGGTTGGGAAGCCTCCACAGAGTGTCCTTCCTTGTTTCCCAGGATGTAGGGGCTGCTGTGGTCCCTTGGACGCTGCTCTCCAACTTTTGTATTTTCCTTGCAATAAAATGAGGTCCCAGCACAAGTCGTTGTTCTCTCCTTTCTTCCTCACAGCCATCACCTTCCCTCCGTTTTATTCCAACCCAAAGCTTTTATGTCATTCCTCCTCCCCAGCTGAGCTTAGATCCCATTTCCTGAGCTGTGACATCTAAAGGTTACACCCTGTAGGGGAAAAAAGCTGGGTAAGTGCGGTTGGAGGTGTCTCAAGGGCTGGGGTACAAAAACAAGGCTGTCCCCTCTGTGTGGCCACGTCATGGGAGCCTCAGGGTTTCATTGTGCTGCCGCAAAGCATCCCAGGCTGCTTCCGGGCAGGAGAAGGGATGGATCCGAGTGCCCAGGGCAACAGCCAGTCCTGGGGGCAGTGGAAATGTGCCCAGCATGGGAAGAGGTGAAGTTTTGTGCCTTCCTGACTTGCAGCTTCTTAACGAGCTTTGATTGTTAGGTTAATTATCCCATTGCAAGACAATCGCGAGTGCAAACTGCCCTTTCCCCAAGGGGAACAAACCTTCCCAGAGCTCAGGGTACTCTGACTGACCCCGGGCACTGATGAGGACACTGCCGAGGCCCCCTTGGTGTGGGCAGCGTTGGGGCCGTGGTGGAGCCCCCTGTGTCCCCCCCCCACCTTCGTGATCCTCCCGTGTCCCCTCCATGTCCCTTTCTGTGTCTCCCCGTGTCCCCCCATATGTCCCTCCCATGCTCCTCTGTATGTCCCTCTCATATCCCTCACAATGTCCCCCTGCGTCCCCTCCATGTTCCCCCTTTCCCCCCGTGTTCCCCTTTGTCCCCCCATGTCCTCCCTATGTCCT